CAGTCTGAAAACATATATGAAATTGGAAAAATCTGGACAATGTTGGCACCCAATCTGAGTTTTGGTCTGTCTAGTTGTAAACTGAAGCATTTTTTTTTTTTGTTTACACATATTGATCTCTTAAGTTTAAAAAATGAATATGTACTTTGAAGAGATATTGCAAATAGGATGCTTTTTTAAGCCATCAGCCTTTTCATATTTGTGTTTTAAAAAAATAAATAAACAAGTGTAATATTTATGCATGTTTTTGACTGTTAACATTTGATTTAGACCTACACTGTGGCTTTAAAAAGAGTGTGCTCAGTACAAGGTCTTAATCTATACAGAATCCACTCCACCCTCATCCCTACCTTGACATCAGGTTTGAAATGCATATGAAAGTGTTTGCATCTCTTTTTATCCTCACAGGAATGATGCCTGCATAAAGCTGGCTGCTTACAAGAGTGCATTTCAGTGCCTAGAGTCTCACTGGATGCAACTGCATTTATGGGCTCTTTAGCTGCAAAACTGCAACATAACACACACATCAATTAATATATTTTTTAATAAGTATTTCATGTATGGATAGGTTCCAGTATGTTATTATAAGATAGCACACACAAGGAATTTTTGAACACTTGTTTGAACATACAAAAATGCAAAAGAAGACTCCAGCCATAACGTTTTATTTTGCTTGGGTTAGAGGCAGTTTCTTTTTCTGAGTACCACATAGGCATCATGAAAATCCTATTAAATGTTGGCTGTATTCCAATAGATTAGTCGTTAAGACCAATATTTAAGTCATTGAAGATCCCATGACCAACTTAAAAAATGCAGGTGAAAGGGCAGAGAAAATAAGTATTTTAAATGCTTACTTTCCATAAATGTATTTTTACCTTCTGTTTACTGAAGGACACAGTGAAGATCTTGATCTCTGACTGAGGGACAGGTTCATTTTCATCTATGTGCACAACGTCTGCATACCAAGGACGACAAGGCTGATCCAGAGCCACAAAAATTACTGGAATCCCTTTGGCTTCTACTTGACGTAAAAGCTGTGGAAAGAGCTTCAGAAAAGCATAGATGAGATTGAACATGTATCTCGATCAGGGATCAAGATCTCCACTGTGTCCTTCAATGAAAGCAAAGAAAAAGATTTTACTGAGCACAAAAAATACTGTTTTTGATTTACTTCCAATATGCCTTTGAACTAGGATATGACTACTCCAGGAAGAGTCCGTTCCCT